ATAGCGTTTCTACACGGTTTTAGGGTATTTCGCTGAAAATTGACGTAAAAATTTGAGAGTTATTCAAGGCTACATATTTTTGGCCAGAACTGTAGAAGTGGCCGCCAAAATCGACACGCTTACAATACTAATCACCAGGCGCGTATTGGCCAACGACAAAGGACAACTCGTGCAAATGCTCATCCCTGAAGACTATAATTCAGAAAATCGATATACTTTGCTGGCGTCAGTCGGTGGATGCCAATAGAATGAAGTACAACTTCATATCAATAAACAAGCAGTGATTGCTCCGGTAATGATAGCACACGGTATGGATAAGGAGCGACCCAAGTCCGACTTTGAAGGCTTATTTCATCTGTTGAAAATATAGAGCGATTCGTTTGATGCGGTGGAGTTCGAATCGATTGAGGTGGAGTTCAAACCGATTGAGCTGCTTTGCACGGATTACGAAGTTCTTGCAGAGGATAGTAAGACACGGGCACGACGAGATTTGGGACTCCAACTGGGAATTTACAACACGAGAAAGACAGATCCAAAAACCAGCGATGGTGAGCTGGTAATTAGGGGAGCAAATGTAGCAGAGCCAAAGCGTAACTCACAGCTCAGTAAGGCCACCGTGCTGCTCAGCTTTGGCAATACCTATGTTGTTGGGTTGCGATGGTTCCGATTTTCTGGGCTTTGTAAGTATGTAATTGAAACGACATAACGATATTACAGCCCAATATGTTTTCTACTGGTGCCACAAAACGCCACTAACAGAATAGACAAAATTGCCTCCTTTGCTACTTCGTCACATGGCAAAAATCCTAATTCAACGAGACACCACTCTTAGTTAATGGATGTGAGCACAGGCTCTCAGCTCTCGTCGACCCACAACAGTCTTTCTTAAGAAGATATAGCTTTGCCCAAAGTGCTGGGGCCAGTGAAGTAAATCAGACAACTACTGAGCAGATAAGTTAATCAGCAAATAGTATTATTATCTTCCTCAGTGCTGTAGTGGCGCGGAAATTTCTTGACATACCGGTGCAAGATTATGACGACACGGTCCGGTACTGTCGCTACGTAGTCAAAACAATGGTATCCACCGCGGTGAACTGAGTCGCAAGGAATCATATCGAGCAGCAAAGCTGGCACCAGCAGCCCAACTTGTACCCTTCACGTGATCATTCTGTTCCCAGCAGCATGCCGCCAAAAAACGATCTCTAATTTTACACACCCAAAGTAGGCTGAAGAAATTTGTCTGTCCATCATCATGATTGCATGCAATAATAGTATTTTATCTTAGAGACATACATCGTAACATAATGCCATCTTGTCATTACCTGCGATAAGTCTTTCCAACAATGAGAAGTGTGGTGATGTTGCCGGACGCGAATACAAAATAATTACAACAGGCTTAGAGGTGGATAGGTGTACCGTAAACTTGTCAGGATCATACCACAAAGCTTGTGTTAGCTGGCAAAATTCGAATACAATAGCGTGTTTATGCCCGGTAGTACACGGTTGAAGTAAAAATCAGAGACTTGCAAAGCCTTTAGCGCTGATGATATGGAATGGCCAGTTTGAACATTGAATGACCAGAAGAGAAGCGCGATGATTTTCTTTGCACAACCTGGAAGATCGCCTCTTTGCGGCAATCTAGCACATTTTTAGACGATTGGTTAGGATCCGATCCATATCGACGTCATTTCTGCTATACCTCGTCCATACGAAGCAACTTCCGTGAAATTCCTTAAGATGGTGACACTGATCAATCTTTTTCTTTACGTGATAGACCATACCTTCTAATGAAGCGTTAGAATGCTGTTAAAGTTGCCAGATAAACCTTGTCTATCTTGGCAAATAGATCCAAGTGCAAACATCGTACTATGGATGATTGTGTGTCAACTAGATTTGTCCGTATGCATAGTTCTATCATATCTTGCATTGCATCCTTTTTATAAATTGACATTTGTGCCAAAATTGTGACTGTATTGAGCTTAAACAAGCATGCACTACTCGCCACTTGACCATTCAGCGCCGAGTGATAAGATTGACTTTCTAATGTCAGCCGCTTTCGGGACTTGATGTCACCAGTATACAGCACAACTAGCGACATCAATTGTGCAGGACCAACTAGAGATAGAAGCTGCAAAGTTTGTTTTGTTGTCCCGATAAGCACCTCATGCTTCATTCTCACAGAGAATAATACTCTGAAGACCAATTCATTAGAATGGCGACGAGTGCTGCCAATAGCCGCGAGGTTGCCGTACATCTTGCGCAGAGAAGCTTCCGACCCGTAGGTTCCATGGTGACAATCACCCACGGGGTTATTCTAAAGCCGTATTTTGAGTAAAATACTAATAAATCGTACATACAAGCTTTACCATCGACCTAAATTAATGAATTGCACGAGGCTGGCAGCCCATCTAGCACAGCTTGTCTTCGTGCGCGAGAAGCATGATGAGAGAGACTATTGTTGAGCGTGCACAAAAGCTTTAAATACGGAATCACGACATCTACGCATGAAATTTTGTGGATACAATGGATCATCAGTCAGCGAGAAGAGCTCTCATTTAGCCTTGATGAGCTGTATGAAGTTTAAAGAGTTGTTAAGGTCCTAGTGAAAAGTCTCTTCCAGACAGTATAATGGTGCTAAACTAATATGTATTCTATTTGCCTTTTACTTCCTTCAATGCTAACAATGCAATGAATACATTGACAACATTCGATCAATGTGTTGGGTCCGAGAATTTTAACAATAGGTTTGACATTAATTTCATGAATGATGTAGCCAACAAAAGACCATCTTTGCGCGTAGCAATAGCACACTGTTTTGATTCTACCACAGCTTGTATGTCCTACACCTGTCTTTACTATACTTCATTTCTCAAGCCATCATGAATTAGACTCGCATCCTAACCAAGCCTCATATCGCGGGTTACATGGTTCCCCAATACTTTGAGCAATCTGACGTCGTCTCATATTGATAGGAAACGGGTTTGAATCGCAGGCGATACCCATGTATCTTGCATTGTAGCACATGGATTCGACTCCGTTAACATCGATGCATTGGCGATAGAGCGTGCCATTGCATGGATCCATCGTTGTGCGGGTGGGTGGACCCTCTAACGATCCAGGAAGTAACAAACCATTGCAAACATTAGTTGGAAACTTTGTCAGCAAAGCCAATGTTGCAGAACTCGCTCTTTCGCGATCTGAAGCTAAGCACGAGGCTGCTGGTGTTCCCCAGAGAGGATGAATTTGACACATTGGGCTCCGTTGATTACACGAATCTAGAAAGCCATTGCAACACCATGTCCCTCGATCAGTCAATATCAATGATTTAAGATTCTTCTTAACTGGAGCAAGATCCGGAAGACTGTCAAGGGACGGTGCACATGTTACCAATAGTCGCTCAAGTCGCAAGAGATGATCGAAAGCTGGTAATTGGTCAAGCAGCAAAAAAGCAGCCAACGTAAGTGATTTCAGCTTTGTGAGCCCTTGAAATGATGGAAGTCGCTTTATTGAAACAAAACCCGCAAGGTGGATAAACGTTAATGACGTCATATCCTCAAACATATCATTCGGCAGACTGATAAACGGACTAGTGAATTTGCTCTCAAGATGTCTGATATCACACGGGGAAATGACACGATAAAAAATGTTTAGAATCAAAAGAAATCACTTAATTAAACGTACAAGAATTCAAGATTAGCCAACTCCTTGATCCAATCGGGTAAAGTCTGAGTGTGCGTGTACTCCAACGTTCTACATTAAAAGTTCAAGTGTGTTAGTACAGAACGTTTACTTAAGAAGCCAAGCAGTCCGTACAAATGTATTAAATTTGTACATCGTCGAAGTTCTTCAGGTAAAGTCGGTAAATATCGATTTGTCAATTGCATAGTCTTGAGATCCCCTCTAGACGCAAGTTGAGCAACCTTTTTAGTCACATCTAAAGGTTGTTCCCACTCGTCATAAGTTTTTGGAGCGACATCACGGTCAATCATCACTAAACAAGGGCATTGTGTCAAAGAGTTAGACTTCAAATACGTCCATCGTCGTGCATGCAGAACACATTCTGGATGAGGATCACACGCGATCGCAGACGTCCGAACGCTCTCTTCCACAAAGATGACCAATAAAATGGCATAGGCCACCAACAATAATGCAGCAATCCGATGTTTACGTGGGTAAATGCAACTTTGCTGTCTCCACGGAATGAGATTGACCATACGATGAAGTCGCATATAAAGCGTGACGTTCACGGCCATTCGAGCGATAAAGTTGACGACAGAGGTAATACGGATTGATTTCAAATTTTCGTAAATCACTGCTGTTTGCGCCGGATCTGCTACAACACTCGCTTGTCGTTCAAACCATCCAGGTGGAAACACTTCGTGGTTAATAGCGTATATATCTCGCGGAAACGTGAAGGCTGACATGCAAAATACCAGAACGAGAATCGGACAAACAACGACGATAAGCAAATCGAATCTACAACACTATAGATTAGATGAGCATTTGATCGACATGTTAAGACTCAAAACGTACAGCAGATCTACAGTCGTCTCAACTAGACCAATGCGTTGCAAGGGGATAAACATTGTCACGACACATGTCAATGCGTTTGAGATGATGATAAAAGTAAAAATCGCAATAATCGGTTCGGGTGATCCTGCCTCCAAAATCTGAATGAGCAAAACCGTTTCAAAAGCTAAATCTCCCAATTTCATCCCAAGCTACTATCCATAAAGGACACAAAGTTGTTAGTGATGGCATGAATAAAAGAATGAACGATTACAACTCACAGCAAATCGTCGAGAAATTCGATCAGTTTGTATAAGCGTACGAATTGATTGAGTTGAAGAGGTGAATCGTAAAGCGATTTGACTTGCTAGCTTCGACTGACTCGTCACTTTTTGTACTAAACTAGCGGTTGAAATAGTCGACAATTCCGGCGTCTGCATTACTCGCCGTCTCCGACGAGCAACCATTTTGACGAGGATAACTAGATATCCAATACCCGCGATAGATAAACCAACAAAAGAAAGCCAAAAAAGAAATGGAGACGGATCCACAAATAACCAAAAAGCACCATCATCCAATTCTTTAGTGTCCATAACGCAATTAACAGTGTGAATTGGATCAATGTTAAGCATGATAAGCCAAAGAGTCCAAAATAAACAAAGAGCCACTACACACGTAAGTGAAAGCTGGAGATAAACCGATTTCGTATGCGGGAATTGAACAAGAAGTACTGAGATGTTGGTGCTTAAGCGTCGAATTGCTGAAACATTATGTTCATTCGTGACACTATCTTTGTGTTTATGTATCAACCTTTTTTGATGTTGAATTCTCTTTAAGTGTTCTTTCAACTCCTGGTACTATTGTTGCTGGTCTTACAAGAGCTGTACCTCGACTAAAAATCGATGGGAGAACTTGGCTAGAATCGTATAAAACACCATTCCATGGCGAGATTGAATATCTGGAATTGTCCTCTGTCCATCCAACTTTCCGTGAATTATCCGTTTCCCACATAAGTAGTCAAACTCCTTTTGAGTTAACTGCGAAAGATGTTTTATAGTCATACTGCGAATTAGTTAGCGAAAACCCTTCCTGGCTAAATTTGGGATATGTGACTGAAATAGATGATGATACCCAAAAAAATGCTGTTGTTGTAGACAACACTATATCTTATATATATCCGATAGATAAGATTCTTGTTAAATTACTTAATATAATCCTGTTTATCTTATGACTTTGCTGATCCCATTATGGTCTGACTCCCTCAGAACGATCATTCCATTACATTTAGGCACACGGTGTGCTAAGTGCTCTGTGGTGTTGACCACACCATGTGTAATAAAACTTGCACAGAGAATATTTCAGCTTCACTAGAATGATGGGATTAGAGTATTCATGGTAGTAATTCTTCAACTCCCAGCCTCTATTGTATGCTTAATCTCAAGTATTTAAACGATTTCGAGAGAGTTTCTGACCTCATCACATTCAAGATCGATGATAAGACTCCTTGTGTCCAAGAATTTGCCGCGAGATCTGATCAAGGTGCTTATGGCAATATTAGGTAGCATTCTGATCGTCTGAGAAATACTTCGAATTGACTTGCTTTTTATGTCATGCTTAGAGTTGGCACTCTCGAGAATTATTGAGTTAGCGTACAACCCCGAAACTGAGTGCTAATAATTATGCATTCGATCAATATCTGCCCAAATTTCACTATCTTCTATGAGTCGCAGACCGACGTAAATTGTACGACATTGCTCCTGTATGATCAACTGTCAAGACTTGACAATCAAAATAAACTAAGAGCCCAAACAGTTAATATAAAGTAATTTGCCTGACGTTCTGCTACATCTGAATCACACGTTGAGTCCATTTAGCGTGATCGAAGCTTATTAATCAATTTCTCTTTAAACACAACAATAAATAAACTCCAACTGGAGACCGGATAACATAGACAAGTAAGCAAAGAAATGAATCATACTAATGCTTGGCTCAGGTGATCTGGCCCATTCTGTATGTTACTCGACAATGCGATAAATCTGAAGTTTGAGCACTTCGCTCGGTCGAAATCAAGACGACTGAATTGTTAAGTGATAATGGCGCATTGTGCTACATACGGGAGCATTCAATAGACTCAGCACTTTATCGAGACCAGATAAAAGCGTATTGGTTTCGTATAAAGTCTCAAGGAGCCATGCAACCAGAAACTGCAAGGGTATGGTTGGTCGACGAGTGTGTTGTCAGGCAATCAATATACCAAGTTATTTGCTCAAACCGACAAAGTTTTGCGAAGAAATGCGATCTCGGCAATCGCAATACGCTTATATCTGTCACGTGCGACTCGCAATATAGCGCTAGGTGTTTATAGAATAGTCTCGAGACATCGACTAGACTAATTTTTTTCTTACAATGATTTAAAGACAAAATTCTCAACAAAAAAATGACTATTCGAGATTCAAGTGTAAGGCCTTCCATCGGCAGCTGCGAACTTGATTGTTTGCGTCATGGATTGGAGGGTAAGTAAGACGTTGGGTGCTCAATGAGAAATTTAAGGTGATCATCTATGTGCAGCGCTGATTTAACGTCTAGAAAAGACGGGAGGAAGGAAATGCGTGGACCTGGATATTTATATTATGCGACATATTGTCGATGATATATGTGATCGAAGATGCAGTTTGCTTTTGAGCAAATTTTCGAAGAACAATAACGACAAGAGATGCATCAAAGTGTGCTTTTGGTATCAGAATGACATACGAGACGTTATCTTGGATGGTGTGCTCAAGCTGTGCTTAAGCACCGCAGAAATCTCAGCCACCAAAGTGCTGAATATTCAACTAGATCCTGCTAGACAATTTGATGTAGTAAAAACAAATGCAAATACATAAAATCTGCCTTAAGCTGTCACCATAATCCACGTCCTCTGCTCTATTAGAAATGCTCTAGACTAGTTGAGCAATGAGCACAAGGCCGCATATAAATGTGAAAGCTCACATTGTTCTATCGAAGGTCTCTTACACTTGGGTAGAACTTCAACATCAGTTTCTCCATATATCAGCAATCAGAAGTTGAAATGTTTTTCTAAATTTTCCAGAGTAAAACTTATGTTTGAATCTCATTATCTATGCAACGAGGTACGTACCGTATCAGGGTGTACGTAGTTATTACACTTTCGTACAATTGTGCTAAACTTCTGTGCACTTGTGCCGAACTCAAAGAAACGAGAGTACAGGCGTTGAAAGGATGATGGATCCCGTAGTCTGTGGGACACTCAGGCTCACGTCATGCAATACCATTAAGTTGTATCATTGAACATGAAATATTTTGATATTTTGTTAAATTTGACGTCTATAAAAAAGTTACTTGAAAACTACCGGAATTATTCTCTTTGATTTGTTAACGCGAACTCTGTGGCTCAAAGTCTTCTTTAGGCAAGGGGCACGACACCAATGTCTCAATCTAAAGACCATCACAACAGAGAGTGAGCTGCACATGGTGCGGGGTTCACCCAATGGGGAGAAATCTTCTACCTCGTGCAGTCGTAATACTATAGCAAACCAAGTTGGCTCACCTATCTAACCCTATCTTGCAAGATAGATTGAATTTGTAGGAAGGGGTGACCCGAATGTGGTGCAACGGAGGTACCACATAATGCTTACATTTGCCGAAAGAGTTGTTCTATCGAAATGTAAGCTAGCGAAATATGGTACTTCGTATTGACCATCTGTGAAGAAAATTATATGTTACACATAGCCGACGGACCTTTCCTCTTCAAAATAACACCATTATCATTCTTACCTAGTACTCATTATGATTTTTCATCGGAATACGGTTAAACTTTGCTCTCAAGCGTACGGGTAAAAGTGTTAAGTGTTCAAACTCTATAGTATGGTTTGCACCATGTTACATCCTTTCCCACCTTATATATTAGCACCACTGGATCCAATGTTACACCAAGCCGATGCACTTACAGTGAATTCTTGAAGAGCTCCCGTTGCACTGAGAGCTTGCTTCGCAGCTTCGCACCACCAGCCCTTACGAGTACCCACTGAATCGAAAAACAATTTACTTCGCGCTACACTTCTCGACGAGCCATCAGAAGTCGCGTTCTCTATAGTGGCGCCATGAAGGCGTTATCATTCAGTGAAGAGGGTAGATAAGAATGTTCACAATGTAGATTCTAGTCCTGGTGCAATATATGGACTTTAGTCTATATATCCGACAGCGAACACTGCTTCGATGCTTATGGTTTTTTTCCGCTGCGAGTCATTGTTGCATAAGCTGCGCACATTGCGTCCACTCCAAGAAGCGGATAGTGTTACGACCCCTGCCACGGGGCTCACGGCAACATTTAAGTCATTGCTTCGTTTTCAGAGCTCGTCGCAAGAAAAACGTGATGCACAAAGCTTGTTTGGAGACAGGTTGCAATAATGTTGCCCTCACATCAGTTGAGGGTATTGGTAGATCAGAGCTGTGCCAATCTTTGAATTCTGTTTATTTCTTAAGAGTATCTATTTGATTTGACGCGGACGCTATCTAGTCGCTAATACTGCATGTATAGCTACGTCATTTCCTTCTAATGAATAAATTCCCCACAACATATTCATTTGTGTACTGTCTGCTTCTTGCGTCGGCGTTTTGCTTGTGTTTATCTAGGCTCTCGTTACTGGTGCCATTGACATTGCGCAGGATACCCTTTATCATTAACATAAAATCACTGATTTTGCTACAAATTGTAACCGGACTAATATTAGCACGTCGAACTTGATCGACAGCCCGTCCTCCACTAGGACCAGTGCCGCCTGTACCTGACGGCTCGACGAGCCATTTATGTTAGGTGATATAAGGCCTGTGAAGACTTTTTCGAATATTTAACGCGGGCTCAAGAAGTGGGAGCAGCTCAATCTAGCACCACAGTCTCTTTGCGCTGCTGCGTTGGAGAAAACCCCTTGGCGGCACGAATGACGCGTTTCTTCTGAGCATTTGCTTGCGAATCGTCAGTGGATGACATATCTTATCTGGTGCCGAGCACCTTGAACAATGGTTGCCAAATTTTTGCTGTTGAGCGAATATCGATCTATTTCAATGGCCATTGGCAAGCAGTATCCGCGAAACACTTTGTCGAGGAACTGCTTGGCTGTATCCTCACTAACAATGAGCCGTCTTACTCTGTGCAAGCCGCACACGTATAGAGACCATACATCAAAGCGGTAATGATTATCACCACCGGGCGAGGATCAGCTGCATTAAGACGATAAAGGCTTGCGTTTCCTTACAGTAACCTGCTAATTGTCACCTCCCTTGACGAATCGACCTGAACATAAAAGCTCCCAAAAACACAGTCAGTTAGCGCCAACACCCACAACAACTATTGCTTTGAATCGTTTCGTGCTGGGAACGCCTATTCTACCAAAGCATCACACGCTGACGCTCAATCTTGCACACGTTCTCTTAGCTTGAAAGTTGCAAGCGCGACGAGCTGTGAACTCGAGACCATCTTAGCTTCTCTGGTCCAGATGAGAGAAACTTATTCTGTTCCAGCCGTCAAAGCCCAGGACGCTTAACGTCAGAGCCTCACGGTAAAAGCAATCTGTTTCTCCACCGGCGTCAGGCTAAGGCACGCCTGATTACTACCTACACAGCGCATTCAAAGCGGTGTGCACGTGCAGGCAAGCGATTATCAATCCCAGTCCTTTGGCTGCAATTTGAGACTAAGTTATACGTTAAGCTGGCTATTTTGCACCGAGATAGATACTCGGACAGTTGCTAATCGTTTTAGCCACAGAATACCGATATTTCAGTACTTATAAAAGTTTACAATTATACCATGTCTATTATGAATTTTGTACAATCGTATAAAATTCAATTGTACGATGTGTGTAAGTGTTAAGTATACAAAACTACATCAGTGGCTTAAATTGATATTCAAAACCATCTCGAAAAATAAATTTCACTTTATGATGCGAGATATGAGACTACTCATCATGATGCTACTACTGAGCTTCGCTTTAAGTCCGAGACTACTGTTATAAGTACATAATTTTCTCAATCATGCATATCATTCTACAGTCAACGCTGCAGCCTTCTACCTTTCCTTTATCAAATCATCATTGAGCCACACAACCCCAGAAATGATCTCATTTATTAGCTGCGCGTCAACAATGACACGAGCAATTCATTAATAATATAAAAATTAATAAAATTTAAACATACTCATTTGATTAATGAGATGACTAACATTTGCGTGATGAGTCGCCATATTGGTAAGTTCCTCTCAATTTTGGAAATGGTCTCTAGAAAATGGTGGATGTTTGAAGTGCTGCTGACGATTCCTTGGAGACGTTCAGAGTACAATTCTTACATATCGAATGGAACGTTACAAGTCAAAGATGCATATATCTCACTCACTATATCGCAGAACAAGAAGCCAGCAAAATTCGATGAGATCACTTAAGAAATCGATAGTTTTCATTTTTTGCATTCATGAATGTCTAATGCTGCAGCTTCATCGCCTTTGCGAGCTCATGAACGTGTTGTCTAGTCCATTGAAACTAGCATCAACGCGATCTATCAAGACATTGCAAACAACGTATCAGCATTCAAGCTCTTTGATAGAATCTACAAGCTTTACTTTGCCTTTTGCGACTGCTGTTACTGCTGCCTGAAAGCCGTCATTCCTCGGACCTGAAAGATCGCAATTTGCCTCGAAAGTTTAAGAATCAAATGTAGAACTAACTTTAGATTGGTAGAAGAGACGAGCAGCAATAATATTGGCGATTGCGACACTGGCAGGTCGTCAGGGTGCTTATTAGTCGCTGTTCGCTCAAATCTTGAAGGGTCATGGCGTATTAGTGGGAAACGAGTCAGTATAAAATACTCGTACAGACACTGCAATTAAGAAGAAAGATTTATATTCGTTTCTTGATTAATTTAATGCTTGTCATATTATTGTCCCGAGCAAGTGGAAGCTGGTGTGTACCGTTGGTACGACAGAAGAGATGCTAACTCCAGTGGCTGTCACAATTTCGTCAGAATGCATTGAATAAAATTCTGAAGAAAGATCGACTGACGATCTTGACCCGTTAGCAACTTTAAAACTGCTGATTCTAACAATACTTACGATGTTATAATCGCAATTCAATAATTGTCTTCGTTCAAAAGGCGCAGCGAAGAAGTCGATTGTATAGTTGACTGATTGAAAAATGGATGCATGGATTCATTAAGATGGAAACAGAACATAGAGATCTTGAGTTTGAAATTCGTGCTACTTTGTCCTCTAAAGCAAACGACAAAACAATTCAATTGACTCGACTCAAAATTGTATTAAGAGAATAAATAGCAAAACTTTCAAAATCATTTGATGAAGCTGAAGACACTATGTAGTCGCATCTGGGTATCGCAATAGATATCTCTGGGCTTCTGCTCGTGCGTTGGCAAAACCTTGTTCACATAGAGACCATACTTGATAGCTGGATTGCCATCAAACGTGAGAGGTTATTGTTTGTGCATCCTGAGGCCAAGCACGAATGGACGTCAAGACGGATGTTATCCTTGATGCTGAAGTATGAGTTCTGTACAACGAGAAAACGAGGAGGACATTCAAAGCGTAGTAGCCACCCATCGCTTCATATGGTACAGATTGTATTCTTGTAGGATGCGACAGATATTTCGAACTATTTTGGACAAACGAGAATGGTCTCAAATAAAAAATATAATGAAATTTTTAGTAGGAATCGGAACTGTATCAATGGATGGTACAGCTTGTCTAGCGCCATCAACTCGTGATCGCCTGTCCATGTGGGATGAGCACTACATAATGACGGCACATTTATCAGACTATCAACTTGAGCTGCCTTACCCTTGTTTTTCGTTTTCTGTCTAGATTTTTCATTTATCTCATATTTTGGACCCTCTTGAACTTTGTTTTTCTTTCAGCTAAATTTCATACTAATTTCTAGAGGCTTTCAAATTGTTTTGATGGTGAAGCCAAGAAATCAAAGTGTTACTGCTTTGAGCGATGGCTGATGTGCTACTTAGGGGAGTGGATGCGCTCGTCATCGACTATGAAAATCGTTGATGAGTTCAGATATGTCTGTAAGGTTTACGCTTCTCATTCTGGCTTGGTACTGATCCCTTTTCTTAAAATCACGAGCATAGTATCAACTCTCTTCCCTTTTTCTACCTTCCCCTCATACATATCTTCAAATCCCCATCCTTTATTTTGTAGAGTCAGAGAAGGATAACAATGCGAGTATGCGAGGGTACAGTGCCGTTAAATCGCACTCACTATCTTCGACATCATTTGAATGCGCAACCAGAATTGTTTCTAAAATTGTTTGGATCATTCTGATCAGGGGGTTTCTTGAATTGCTTAAGTCATAGTCATAGTCATACTCTTTATGGGTATATTAAGCACCGTAACGTTATTATATACATGCGAAGAATTGAGTCATGCCGTTTGAGTTAAATCTTTATTTAAAACGATCTTACCGCTAAGCGGCTTTACTCACTCTGGTCGTCGAGATGCGTGAGTTAACGGTACCCGCTCACATGTGTGCCCTCTCTATTCCCAATTATAATATTACTAACTGCTTGCGTGATTGCGGGATGAGATGCATTGTTAGAAATGTCTTCAAGATTACATATAGTACTATTGAAGACTTCACTTGTGACTCTATTTTTTAGTATAGGATATGATTTTACAGTCTCTAGATTTAAGTGTAAAATCGCATCATTTAATATATTACGTCGCAACAAATTGGACGATCGTCAGCGGCAGCATTCATCACGTGTCGTTATGAATTAGCACCGTATGTACGTCCAGCCAGCGATATGTTGTCGACGCATGATCGAAAGACGTTTGTCTGCACGTGGACGAAAGTACTCGCATTTGGATTTTCTGCGTCCAACTAAGTAGATAAAGATCTTACCATCCAGGTTCGTATCTTACAAATGAAATTTCTAATTTGATCCAAATGAAAATCTTTCGACATTTAATAGTCAAAAAAACTTGTTTCGTTAACGGAAAGTGACCAGTCTAAACGTTGTAACTTTCTCGAGAAAGTCTCTTTGTACGTATATAAACTTTATGAAAAGGATGGAAAGAATGAGGTGTATGATCGTCTCAATTCCTTGAAGTCATAGGTATCACGTGGTGTCAGTATATAAAAATCATAAGAGAACTGTATCCACTAGGGAGAGTCTCAAAACCAGCTTGTACGATCGTCCACTCTGTTCAATTCATTTATGACTTGATATGGTAAAAAAACGGCAATTTCCAGTTTCTGGAAACGAGAAAAGACCAGACAACCATACGTGAGTGGGTGTATTTCTAACACAGCCAGGCCAGAATTCGCCATCATTTCACGATGGAATGTCGTACATAAGAGTGACACAAAGCCGTAAACAGCAATAATTATTGCCTTCGTAAGGAATGAGGACGATCAGTTCCAATGATGAACTTTTTGTAACGTTCTTGTTCCCATCTTTGGAGTGAAATTGGGTCATCTTGAATTTCCACATTTTGCACGTCGTGACCCCTTTTTTCAACTAATTGTGAAATGAACCTTTTTCCTGTTAACGAAGGTATTGGATTCTCCCTCAGTCTTTTATCTCCAACTCTCTTTCTTCTCTCTCTACCTTCCATCTGGTCTATAGTGTTCAATTCAATTTTGTCGTTAAAAATGTTTCTACCATCTCTGTCTTCACCATTACTTTGTCACAAGATTGGAAAGAGATCCCGACCATCCCCGTCTCTTGCCCCATCGGTTTTCCTTGAGTTTTTTATTTATTTTAGTAGCCGGAGATCGCCCCATGCCACAGTTTTTCACTTTGCAAAAGAAATCCAAACGCAACATACGCAACACCGTCATGTTGTTTACTCCATCGGCGTACCCCAATGTCCATACGGCAAGTTTTACTGTCCCAAGTCCCGAAAAACCTTCACGTCATCTCGTTCCAACTTCTCAACATCATCGAGATACTTCACCATTACCAGGTCTTTCATCCATGTTACAACAACAACGTCATTATCAAGACACTTTACTTCTTTCTCCATATACGTCGTCATGGCAACATCATGAACACGGTACAATTCATAAAAGTCCCATTGCCACAACATCAGATTCAATAAAACCCAAAACTTCCATCACGACAACTGGGATCGTCAAATCTTCTCGATATTTACGTGAAATGGATCGACGTGTGATACTTTCACGTATTGAACAAGGTGAAAAGCAATCAGCATTAGCTAAAGAATATCAAGTCAGTCGTGCAGCAATTTGTAATTTGAATAAACATCGCGATGAAGTTTTATCACGAAAAGATGGGAATCCATTAGCGAAACATCCAAAAAAACCACGTTTGAAAACTGGAGGACGTAAAAGTGGAAAACATGAATGGCAAGAACATCAAGAAGATGTGAAAGATCAACATCTTGGTGTTTATGCAGTGGAATCACGAGCTGTAGTGTTACTATTAACATCATTACGAAAGAAACAAGCAACGGTGAATGAATTTCGACGTTCAAGTGATCGATTGATACGAATTGTATTAGAAGAAGCATTGGCGTTTGTACCAGTAAAAGCAGTGGAGATTTTCTTACCAAATCATAGCAAGTCGGATGGGGTAGCATTGGAACATCCACCATGTGCTATTTCTATGGAATCAGCAGGTTCACCAATGCTTGAATTATTTCATTTAATTGAACCAGATCAACCAACAGGTTACATGACATTTACAGACATGACTCTGCAATCGATGGAGACACAATTATGTGGTCATCGATTACCTACAAGTCTCAATTATCATAATGTTTTTCTATTGGATCATGTTTTGACGTCACCTCATCTTGTGATGAATGTTGTACGAAGGTTACAAGAACATGGAGCCGTAGTCCCGATGATTACATTCGTGGCGCTTCTTGCAACACGAGAAGCAGTAACTACATTACATGGAATGTTTCCAATGCTTAATATTGTTGTAGCACAAGTTGAAGACGGTCGAACGATGGCTACAGACATGATTTTAGATCGAATGGAACAAGTGTACCACAATTCAGCAACCTCGACAGTATTGTACTAATCGAGTGTACCATGAACTTGGATCAATAAGCATTTTAGAAATACGACTTAATCACTCTTTGTACCATCATTCTCTATTTCACTTGAAGTCACTTGTTTGTCGATAGTTGATAGTGAAGCACAAAGAGATTGTATCTCAAGTCCCAATCGTGCTTGTTGTTGGACCAAATGTTCATTCCGTCGTGTCAGATCTACAGATACGACACGTGTTTGATCGATTGTACCAGCATGATGGGTACATGTGTCATTTTGGTACATTTCTATCTTGCGTTGCTTTTGTACTTGGTACCGTCGACGACATCGTTCTCGTTCTTTACGTCTTTGATCTTCTGTTGCATTTAAACGACGTACTCGACTACGTTGTGCTTCTCGTTGACGTTGTTGTTCGGTAGCATGTTGTCGACGAGCTCGAGAACGTTTCATTTCACGTTCACGAACTTCTGAAGATGCTTGAGTACGACGTCCTTGACTTTGGGTACGTTCTTCCATTCGTTGACGTTTCCGTGCACGTCGTTCCGCATCAAGTTGACGTTGTGCAGGTGTCAATTGTTCTCGTCGACGTTTACTTCGTTCTGCTTCTGCTTTCTTTGCTGCTGGTGTCGCTTTTAATCGACGTAATCGACTACGTTCAGCTTCAAGAGATTGACGTGTACCATCAAAAGGTACCAATGTACCATTAGAATGGTTCGAAAGGACAGGAAACATTGTTGTGTAGACAACTTCATGATACTGTTGAAGATGTCCAAGTGCTTGTTGACGTCCAACTTCATTTGGTTCAAATGCATGAGGCATTTCACTTCCTTTACGTGCTTGTTTGCATCTATCAACATATAAAAATATTACTTTTTGAAGATAGAATGAAAATGTACCTTAAAAAACGTACAAATGACATGACCAACATTCGCACTCTACAATTTCTCCCCATTTGTTATCTTGCATGGAAATCTATCGAATATCAAGATCTTGAGCTTGTTATAACATAAAAAACTTTCATTTCTATCCTTACCATGCGTTTTTCCGTTGATTTCAACTGACTAAACCACGTAATTGCATCTTTCTTACGTCTTGGACCAAAACGTACCCGTTGATTCTCTTCTTCGGTACATCCATTGATTCGGTACAATACATTCTTAAGATGGCACAACTTAAAATGGGTTACAAAGTAACTAAAAGGTACCAGATAGTAAATAGTTGATCCACATCTTCATAACACAACAACGTACCGTGGATGACGTAAGAAATCAAAGAAAAAGTTTTCATTACATTCTTCACATCGAATGAGATTCGCACGAAGATGCTCAAAGTGTTCGTCAAGACACGATACGACATTATGTGCCATGGGGTTACTTTCAGAAACTGGTACAATTTTCTTGTACCAGTGTCAGTCGAGCGAGGGGCTACTTAAACCAAACAGTCGACTAGGGTACGAATGGCACGTGTCTATGTCGGGAACTTGCCCGAAATCGTGCGTGAACGTGACTTATCGGATATGTTTGAGCGCTTTGGACGACTGTTAAGTGTCCAGATTAAGTTTCCAACCCGTCCACCACCATTTGCGTTCTTGGTATCGTCATTTCTTTCATTTTCTTAGATCTAAGTATAACTTTTGGTGATTTTTCTATTAATATTAGACATACGAAGATGAAAGAGATGCAAGTGATGCTGTACGTTCAATGAATAAGTACGTTATAATATTATATTCAACTAAAGCATAAGAACATGAAGATGATCGTGTTATTAGTGTCGTGATCTCAGGTAGTCGAATTCGGGTGGAAATGTCACGTGGTACATATGAACCCCGGTTGGTACTATTTAGTGACATGTAAATTTTTGAATTTTTATTGATTTTTTTCTAAATATCTAGACGTCGTGGTACCCAATATCGCGTAACCATTTCTGGGTTACCCGATACAATGAGTTGGCAAGATTTAAAAGATTTTTTACGTAAAGGTGGTGATGTCATTCATACAGACGTCGATCGTCGTGGTCATGGATCAGCATCATTTGCAACATCGGATGAAATGCATCGTGCAATTCGTAAATTAAATGATTTTGAATTGAATGGAGATCGAATTCGAATTCGTGAAGATGTTCCACGTAATCGATCCCGTTCACTTTCACGTTCACCACGTCGTCGTCATCATTCACGATCGCGATCGATTTCTCTTTCACCACGACGTAATCGCATTCATCGTCGTCGACTTTCCCCATCTCGTTCTCGTTGATAGATTTCAATTAGATCCAAATCAATAAAAACTCAATTTTTTTTTGATTGTTTCTTCTTTACTCAACACTTTGACGCCAAAGTACAAGTTCTTGTTGTTTAAAATATCGTCGATCTTCGATATCTACAAGTACAAGATTGAGATAATAGCGTACAGAGCATTGTAACTCAATGTGACGATATGTTGGTGTTAAATTATATGGTGCAAGGTATAAACGAACGGGGATACTGTCACCTTTTTTTGGTGCTCCATCTAGAATTTCATACTTTGTCATGATTTCACTTTCAATATGACGATGAGAACCATGTCCAACACTTTCTCGACGTAAAAGAGTAAGTTCCATTGATTTAATCGAAATGCGAATTAACACAAAGAGAATCTTTCCAATAATGACATCAGTAAGATGATAGCTGGTTGATAAATAAACTGTGAGTATTTGTTACAATGAAAGATATCAAAGTTTAGACGTACGTGGATTGATTCGATGTAAATTCAAGATGAAGACAATCTTGAATTCCTACTTCCATTCTCATATGATCCAATAAAGAAAGTGATGGAGATTTTAAATGTTGGATATAAATCTCTTGTTCTGATATGATGGCACTTAGATACTTTCCACGTGATAAATTAACACGAAGAATATAACGAACATCAAAATACTTTCCATGATATGTTTCATATTGTTTCTCAATGTTTGGAAACTCAAATGAAAACATTCTTTCGTTCTTGATAACATTTCCACTTGTATCTAATGTGAGTATTGAATGTAGAAATTCGGAACTTCCACTGCGATCATTTCGTACATTCATGTGTCCAATGAAATGTAACGTTAATCCACAATGTTCGAATTGTGTTTTACCATTTACTTTGACATTTAAAGATCCAGAAAGACATTCGTCATGATAATAAAGTGGAAACTTGACAATTTCATTCTTATCTTTTGTGACGTAGATACGTTCGTTTGCATTCTTGAGAGTCACTTGAAGCTCAACAGAAGGTTTAGGAGAATAGAAAAGATTCTAATTGAAATGACGTGAGATGGAGGAACGACGAGATAAAGAAGAAGGAGATTCGACTTACCATGATTTCGGCCATTGATTATGAGATTGAGTTAGTTGAAAATTTAAGATTACAGTTAATAAGGAAAATTTTAGTTAATTTTTGTTAACCAAATATTTTCAATTCAAGAAAGTTAGGTTACGGGATTATCTCTTGTACAACATTTGGCAGGAAACTTTGAGGTTTTAGGTACAAGTGGGGAACGTGAGAAAGGAAAACAGGTCAAGAATAGAGAGTA